CACATCAACACTGATCTTTCCCTTGGGTCTGATCATTGTCTTATGTCACTTTCTTTTTCTTATGATATGTCCTTGCCTTCTTGTTCATCTTCTTCCCCTTCTTCTTCAACCATCCACCCAAGGCGCCTCTGGAATCTAGCACATATGAAAGAACAGGATCCATGTGACCTCTATGCCAACACCTTTACCACTCTTTCTTCCCCCCTTTCTACTCATTTACACTCCCTTGTCACCTCCCCTCCTTCATCATGCCCACCCATTGATGATCTCAATGATCAGCTCAATGAGTGCATCTATGCATCCTTGGACACTGCTCTGGGAACCAAAAGGTCTTGCCCCTCCCACTGGAAGAAGTACTGGACACCTGCTCTCCAACAAGCTGCTGAAAACAGGGAACGTTGCTACAGGCAGTGGCAGTATGCAACAGGCATAGACAAGGTGCACTGGTGGGCCCAACACAAGCAAGCACATGCCAGATTCAAGTCTGATGTCCAGGCAGCCAAACACCAGTCATGGCAGAACTTTTGCAGGTCTCTGGAGACAAACTTTGCCAAGGCAATGGCCAAGGTGAAGTAGCTCAAGAAACGTCACCAGTCCTCACTCTCCTTTTCCCATGCTGATGGTCTGTCCAAGGCAGTAGAGGTAATGGCTTCTCATCTTGCACAGGTGTATAGTGGAGATATCCTTCCTTTGTCCCATCCTTCCCCTATGTTCCTCCTTCACATCCTTCCCCTTCTGTAGCTAGTGTCCCTTATGAACCCCTATGCTCCCCACCCCTATGTCCCTCTGGTACCTTCAGCACTATGTTCTCTACTGCCATGGTTAGCAAGTGTATCAAGCTATTACCCAACAGAAAAGCACCTGGCTCTGATCACTTGAAGGCTGAGATGCTGAAGCCCATTATCCCCATTGTTTCCCCACTCCTTTCCCTTATGTTTCAATTATGATGGCAATAGTCCTACACTCCTGCACTATGGCGCCATGCTGCAGTCTTCCCCATTTTCAAGAAGGGTGACTCAGCACTACCAAGTAACTACTGTCCCATTTCATTGACTTCTGTGGTCTGTAAGCTGTTGGAGTTCTGTCTGGCACCATCCCTCTCTCAGTTCTCTCCTGTTCCTGATCTGGCTCAGGGTGGGTTTTGTCCTTGTTGTGGTCCCCTGGATCAAGCACTGTGTCTGCATGAGCTGATGCATGCTTACTTCATGTGTCATCATCACTATCCTGTTGTTGCCTTGCTGGACATCTCCTCTGCCTATGACAAGGTTGACCGTAACATTGTCTGGCAAGCTTTGTCTGCTGCTGGTGCTCCTCCCCCATTCCTGTCATTCATTTCACATCTATTTGACATAGTAACTATTTCTGTGTTGATATCTAACCACTCCTCCCTCCCCTTTTCCCCTGTCACTGGTGTACTTCAGGGTTCTGTTCTCAGTCCCCAGTTGTACACAGTGTACATCAACTCACTCCCTGGTGTTCTCTGTTCATTTCCTGGTGCTGGTGATAACTCTCACTCTGTCTGTTTTCCAGTGTCTCCTGGTGCTTCCTCTGGTCCTGGTCCTGGTTCTGTCTCTGGTGCTTCTTCTGGTTCTGTGCCTGTGGTAGTGAACTCTCTGCTTTTTGCAGATGATGTAGCTATCTTTGGTACAAAGGAGTCAGTACAAGTCATGCTGGCTCTTGCTGAACAACACTCATATGCTCTAGGGTTTAGGTGGAACCCCTCCAAGTGTGTGGTCCTCAATCATCTGTCTCCATTGTCATCAACTGCTTGTGGTTATACTCTGTCTCTGTATGGTGTCCCTCTCCCTCAGGCTGATGAGGTGACTTATCTAGGTTTGCCTTTTGGTAAGAAAGGTTTGATTGCTTCATCTCTGGTGTCTTCTTGGTCTCCTGGTGTTGCCAAGGTCATGGGCATCCTCAGTCTGATTGGTGTTAGTTGTGCTGGTTTCTCTCTCCTCCTGTGCTTAAGAATCTACTCCACCTTTGTGCACCCCAAGTTTGAGTATGGCCTAGCCATCTCATTTCTGAAGGCTTAAGACCACAAAGCTCTGGAGTGGTTACAAGATTGGTGTCTTTGTCTGCTGGTTGGGGGTCACCCCACATCATCTACAACAGTGCTTTGTGTTGTGTTCCAACTTCAATCCAAAGATTCTTCATGAATTGGTCAACATGAGTAGTATGCTGTGAAATTCAGAATACTCTATGAAAGCTTAAGTGCACACAAGTACCATAGTACATCTCTGTATCATCTCACTGATTGGTTGTAACTACAAATCAACCTTCTAAGCTCAATCTACTATTGGACACTTAATGAGCTGCCTTTATCTATAAATCCTTAGTGGATTAAATAAGACCTATAAAAGGCAATTAAAAGGGAAGACATAATAGATGGCTCTATAATGGTGTGTGAGATTGTTCAGACAGGTAGATTAACAAGACTAAACAAAGATGATTTTTATTGAGTAAAAAAAGGTTCACTATTTATACTTTTGGTGGGTGCCTATCCTTCAGTGGCTTCTACCTTATGGTAGTTATGATAGTCAACCTTATGGCTGCTTCACAATTACAACTAAATGGTTGGTGGGGACATTCTACCCTATGGTAGAATTCACTCTCTTTGACCTTATGGTTGGTATCTATATTACTACCTTATGGTAGTATTAATAACTGCCACCTTATGGTTGGCTCATATGTTTTACTTAGTTGTAGTATTATTAGATTCAACCCTATGGTTGGTTCCTGGGATAAGCACTCCATTATTGAAACCATTAATTATTATGAGTCTTTACTCAATTGACTCTGATAGGTCAATATTGTTCTGTTAGGATTATTAATGAAGATGGCTCTTATTAAGTATCCAATAGTACACTGAGCTTTAGAAGGTGATCTGTAGTTATGACCAATCAGTGAGATGATACAGAGATGTACTGTTACTTGTGTGCACTCAAGCTTTCATAGAGTATTCTGAATGTCACAGCATACTACTTGTGTTGACTTATTCATAGAGAATCTTTGGATTGAAGTCAAAACATAACTCTACTTATTGAATCCAGATATAAATAAATAAATAAATAAAAACTTTGGTTTCTGTTTAAACTGTCCAGAATTCCTTTGGTTAAAAACAAAGACAAAATTAAATATTTTTCTAATTAAGAATTTTAAATAATAATTAGTTTCAACTTAAAATAAAATGATTCGCACCGGGCTCGATCCGGCGACCTTATGCGTGTAAAGCATATGTGATAACCAACTACACCAGCGAACCACCACTCTTTTTCTGCTATTCCATACTTTTTATTTCATTCTTAGCCAAATCTTACAACTTGTTTTCAGAATTGGCTCATCTTTGGACACAACATACATCAGTCTCCAACACACCTGAATCTGTTTTCACTTTTGACGGATCCATTCTATTCATAAAGATATCCACTTTTCTAATTTTTGACCCTCCAAGACCACCATACAGCAACACACAGCAAACTTTTCACCTCGCCCGTCGCCCCTTAAAATGATTGGCGCCAGCAAGTCACGTGACACCGACACTCTGAAGCCTGTAGATAGGCTTATGAAGCACTTGCAAGATGAATTCTCAACCAATTTGCACCATTTAAAGTGCAAAAGATGCAGCCAGACTGGTAAGATTGCCATGAATGGTAGTAACTCCCGCTCTGGTGCCCCACAGTTTCGTTGCAGGTGCCTGCAAACATTCTCTGCCTCTGTCATGCAAGACATGCTTAACAAAATCCAGAACAGGGTGCCATCTGTTGTGTCTCCTGTCTCTGCTCTGTCTCTGCCTCTGTCTCTGCTCCTGTGCCTGCACCTTCTGTTTCTTCTGGCAGTGATGTCAGTATTCTGCCAAGTGTCCTGGCCAAACGTGACCACACTTTTCTGTCAGAGGACAGCATGGATAGTGCCTCTTTCCAACTTGGTTCCCAAGATGACTTCCAGACCATGGTCCTGGAACAGCTCAAGGTCCAGGGTGCCCGCCTTACTGCTCTGGAGTGTGTCCAAGCAGAGAAAGTCAAGCTGAGAGAGTCTCTGGCAGCTGCAGAGAAGAAGATTGAGGAGCTTCTCAAGTTGGTTTCTTCTGGTGCTTCTTCTGCTCCTGGTGTTTCTTCTGTTGGTGTGTCTTCTGTTCCTGGTGTACCTGTCCTTTCTGCCTTTCCTCTTCTTGCTGCCTCCACCTCTACAAAGGGATCCTATGCCAAGGCTGCTGCTGCTGGTGCCTCCAAGGCTAGGCCTTAAAGAAGAAGGCTGTTACAGCCAAGGCTATTGCTGCTGTTGTCTGTGGGATGACAGTTAAAGAAGATGCTGATCCTGGATTCCAAGTCCTGTATGTGCCCAATGCTGTTTGTCTGCCTCTGAAGGAGCAAAGAGCCAGACTTAACAAGCTGAAGATTGACAACTCCAGAGTGCTGGACTTGCACTACCCAGACAGGAAGGTGATGGGATGCTGGTGCACAATGATATGCACCAGAGCTTACTGCAGTGCTTGATAGCTATGGTGTTAAGACCCTTGGCAACTTTGACCCCCTGGACCAGTCCACCTGTGTGATCCCAAGCTGGCAACACTATCAGTGAGTGAATGCTCTGCCAAGGCCTTGTCTGTCACAACAGCAGAATGATGAATGCATTGCTTTCATCCATGCCCCTGTCTGGTTTGCTGTGCCAAGTCCTTCTGCCAGCAGGGTTGGATTTCTGAGCAGCAGTTGGCTGATATCTTCCCACAAGGATGGACACTGACATGCTTGAGGCCTCCAGCACCTTCCACTCCTTCTCTGAACTATGAACCCAGTGACAATTACACTGTGGAATGCTAATGGTCTAGCAAAACAGACCATACCTATGCTTATGCACCATGTTTCCTCCTCCTCCCTTGTCTTTATCACTGAGACTTGGCTTCTCCCCCCACATTCATTTCCCCTTTCTTGGCAGCAGCACCACACTTATGGTCAGTCTGTCCCCAATGCATCTTGTGGCAGTATGGGTATTTCACTCCTTATCAACCCTTCCTTTCCCTATCCTGTTTCCCTTCTTCCCTCATCATCCCCCTATGTTCTATCATGTATTGTGTTTGACACTCTTATCCATTGTATATACCTTCCCCCTTCCCTCACTGACACTGATGCTCTTGCAGTTCTCTATGACCTTCCTTTGACACATGTTCAGGCATCCTCTACTTGATCTGTGGTGACATGAATGCCAGGCTTGGGTTGTTTGTGGGTGACTCTGTGGTGACCAGGCATGGTACTCTTCTGTTGGACTGGCTGGTTGCATCTGGGATGGACTGCCTGAACAAGACTTATGCTTTTGGTGTGCCCACTTTGCTCTCTGGACATGGTGGTAATATATGCTCAAGTGTTATTGACCTCTTTCTTTGCTCCTCCCCCCTTATGAACCCCTCTATGCATGTTTCCCTTGACCTTTCTCTGGGCTCTGACCACAAAATGGTTCATCTCACATTCACTCCTTCAATTATGCCCCCCTCCCTTCCTCTTCTTCACACCCTTGTTTGCTCTGGAATCTCACCAAGCTTGGGCAGCCTGACTCTCTCAAGGTCTACAAAGATGCACTCACATGCTCAATGGACAGCCTTGTTGAGCAGTTTAGTGCTTTCATTTTGTCACCCTCTCCCCCTCCTTTAGACTCCCTATGCTCTATGTTTAGCTCTGCAATCCACAAGGCTCTGGATCAATCTGTTGGCAGGCATGTTCCTAGGTCAGAGAGAAGAAACTGGTTCTGGAGCCAAGATGTCCAGGATGCCTTTGACTACCATGAGAGGTGCTACCAATGTTGGAGAAAGTCCTATGGTTTGAGCAAGGCTGTGTGTTGGGTGACTCACTCTGCTGCTTCTGTGGCATACAAGCATGCAGTCCAGAGACATAGGAGACAGACATGGAAGGAGTTCTGTACTTGTTTGGCAACCCAAGACTTTGGCAAGACCACAGCCAGTATCAAGAGCATTAGGCAGAGCCAAAGGTCCAGTCCCTCTTTTCAGCATGTGGATGGTTCCCAAGAGGCTGCTAATAGCATGGCTTGTCACCTTGAGGCAACATTCTCTGGTTCTTTTCTCCCTGCAGTCCCTAAACCAGACTGTACAGTGTCACTCACTTCTGCTGCTGCTATAGATTACACTTGTCCATTTGACAATCATTTAGTAGAGTTGGCTCTTAAACGTCTTCCTGCAAGAAAGGCTCCTGGTGTTGACCACCTGAGGGCTGCAATGCTGCATCCTGTTGCTGGTCTGGTGTCTCCTGCTCTGGCTCTTCTGTTTTGTCTGTGTTGGCAGTGGGGTTCTGCTCCCTTGGCATGGCGTGTGGCACAGGTGGTGCCTATCTACAAGAAGGGTGATGCCTCTAACCCTGGGAACTACAGACCCATCAGTCTTACCTCAATCTTGAGAAAGACAATGGAGTACTGCTTGGCTGGTGTGCTGCATGAGGTGTCCCCAATGCTTGATCTTGCTCAAGGCAGTTTCAGAGTCCAGAGGAGTACCCTGGATCAAGTTCTATGTCTCCACAAGATTGTCCATCAACACACAAGTGTCTATAAGCAACCTCCAGTGCTAGCATTCCTGGACATCAAGTCTGCATATGACACAGTAGACAGGTCTGATGTCTGGAATGCATGCATTCCAGACATCAGATCCTCTACTAGCTCTGCTCCAGAGTCTGTTTGACAAGGTGCAAGTTGAGGTTTTGCTGTCAGGCACTACTTCCCTTCCCTTTCATCCATTGACTGGTGTTCTCCAAGGCTCAGTGTTGTCTCCACACTTGTACTCTGTGTATATCAACAGTCTGCCTTTTGCTCTTTGTGCTGCTGGTGCTCTCTGCTTAACTGTATTCTCACAGCCACCAACAAGTATATGTAGAATAGGTGGATAGACATCACCTATTTGCATGGATGGCTGTGGAAGAAGTGGGATATGATAAAGTTGCTAAAAGTATTTACAGTAATGGAATGTTTCAGAAAATAGTATATATAATAGCCAATTGCACATTTTAATAAAAAAAAGAAAAGTCCAAACAAAAACATGGATTCCATAAGAAGAGTAGTATAAACCCAAGGTCAAGTTAAGTTGTTGGTTCTTGCTCTGTTCCTGTTTGTTCCCTTGTTTGTCTGTTTTGTTGGTCTGTTATTAGAGAAGGTTGCCATTACCTGTTCTCTTGTGCCCCTATAGACCCCATACCAGAGTGCCTCTTCCAGACTACAACTCCCATAGTCCACTCAACCCTCTAAGCCAAGTTCTTCCTGACTCACCACTCTAAAGCTAGTCAACTCCCACAGATACAAGAGCAGCCAGCCTTCCCTGAGGTCCTGCAAGTCTTAAAGAACAAACCCCTTGCCCAAATATACATATAGTTGAAGGGAACATTATTAACTCACTATTGTTTGCAGATGATGTTGCCATCATTGCCACACCTGAAGCCATGCCTGTAATATTGAACTCTGCTGAGCAGCATTCCCTGGAGCTGGGCTATAGGTGGAATCCCCTGAAGTGTGTTGTCTTGGACTTTGCCTCTGGTCATTTGTCAGGAGCATCTAGGTACTCACTGTACTCTACACCCATCCCACTGGCTGCATCATTTGTGTATCTTGGAGTGCCCTTTTCAAGCAAAGGAGCCATTGATCCTGGTCTTCTTCTGTCCCACAACTCTGCTTCTGCTCTGAGTAGCATGCATGTTCTCTCCTCTCTTGGTCTGAGTCCCTCTGGGTTCCCAAAGCTTCTCTTTCTGTGCCTGTACAGGCAGTTCATCAGACCCAAGTTTGAGTATGGCCTGGCCATCACCTGCTTCACAGCCAAGCAAGCCAAGTCTCTGGACAAGGTACAAGACACATGTCTCAGGATGATCTTTGGGGGTCATCCCACATCTTCTACAATGGTGATTTGTCACATGAGCAAGATGCCTAGTATGAGTGACAGGATCTTGACTCTTGGAGCCAAACATGTTTTCTGGGTGTTTGCTCTGCCTGATGATGCTCTCTTTTCTCTGCTCAGGCTCACTCTCACCAACAATGCTCACCAGTGGTTCAAGCTTCTTGCCAACCCCATCTGGTTGAGTCTGCCAGTCCCTAGGGAAGATCAGCTGCCAAAAGTGCTCAAGGCCATGATTACTAGCCACCTATACCAAAGTTTTCTTGCTGCCAGACAGTCCAAGGTTCTTCTCTCTGCTTGCCATCCCTCTCTTGGTGTGGATCCTCTGTTGTGGCTGCCCATGACATCCTTGGAATGTAGTAGATTTCTCAGGTGGAGAATGGGTTGGT